CTCCATGTATTCAAAAGCTATAGTTTTGGGAAAACTTTTTTCATGTTGAATCAAAATCAAAATTTGATTCTTGATTACTTTCAAGTAAGCTAAGTCTGCTCAAGAGCTACAGCATGAACCTAATTCCTTCTCCCCAGAGCTCTCTAAAAATCAGAAGATGGTAAATGACCATGTTACCACGCTAAATGCTCACTTCTAGGTCATATCTGCTCTGTTACTCTGAGTATTTCAAACACTCTGGAACTTCTCCCCTGGGTCAGTTTTAGACTAGAGATGTTCCTCTTCAAATATGATACCAGACACCCTCCAGAATGCTCTAGTTGTGATCTAACCGGTGCAAGGGGCATTTCCTCTCTTTTCCTGGTGAAATTCTAAGTCCATGTTCTGTGTAGTAGACTGATTGCTATATCACAGTGAGACAGTACACCAGACTGCCTGGATTCCAAAGCAGCATCATCCACACTTTAGCTATGGGAACTTTGGCAAGATACTTTCTCTGTACCTCAGTTTCTTCATTTACAGAATGAGGACATTACAGAATGTTCATCATGGTCACTAATGAAAATGCCAAATCATGGCAATGACTAAGTCCTGCCAGCATGCCATCTCTCAATTGCCACCAACCATCTGATTCTATTAGGACTGTTACTACTGTCTCAGCCTTGAGGATATCTGACATGTGCCAGGCACTGTACTAGGACTGGAGGACACAAATATTGATAAAACATGGGCTGTGGGCTTTGCCTTCATCGGTTTCACAATAAAGCAAAGAGACAAAAAAAAAAAAAAAAAGATAACCTAGAAATAAGTTCTGGGAGACAAATATGCACCAAAAGCCCAAGGCACTCCCGGCTTTTGTTCTACAGCCGCCTATTTAATTTCTCTAAATACTCTAAAATGGAAGGAAACCAGAGAAACACATTTCAAACACATTTATAAGGTTGTCATTATTTATGAGGAACTTCATCCTTCATACCCTCAAGGTCTGTCATGGCTCTTAACTTTCACCTCCCATTTTTTTCCAGAGGTATTTGTTATTTTTGCTAATTTGCTGGTGTTTATTTGCAAGCAAAATTACTTGTTCAGATGTCAGTCACATTCCAGTCTCTGCTCCACAGGAGTTTTTCAAATACATTTGGAGTATTTGATCTTATTACTTGACCATGAGTATCATAACCTTAAAATTATAGCCAACTTTGAAATGTGTTTACAAATCAGTGCGGATATCTATCTACAGCCATTATCATGTCCCTGCCTAGAAAAAAGGGCTGCAATCCCAGTAGCAGACGCCGCCTCTGCTCTGCACATCCTCTCACTCCCAGGGACTCTGTTTTCTCCTAAATACCATTAATAGTCTCTTTAACTTTCATTAGTTACCTAGGCTATGTTTGCCCTCCCAGTGATCTTATCTTGCCCAGTAGTGCCATAATAAATGGGATAGGCATCAAAAAGATGAAATCAGGGCCCTCCCTGGTGGCGCAGCGGGTTAAAGCACAGCACTGAGAATCTAAAGCCGCTTCCGCATGAGTTCGATTCCCTCCTGCCCTGGAGGTGACCAACATGGCGTGGCAGACCTCTCCTGACCCGCCCGCTGCTCCCCTCAGCAGTGTACTTCGTCGATCTGCCTGTTCTGCTCCCCACTCTGTCTCTGGTGAATCCTCTCACCCTCCACATCTCTGGCCTGTACCCCAGTTCTGTATGAATAAATAAACAAATCTTTAAATAAAAAAAAAGATGAAATCATTCAACCCACCAGCATGTATTTGACCATGTAAAAATTCCCTTGATCCTATTTTCCCCCAGGTTTACACCTTTTCAGAAGGAAGCATGAGAGGCATACTGCTTCGGTTTTAAAATTATCAACCAAAATATTCTCTGCTGTTAGGAATTGATTATATAAAACTGCGTAACGTGGTCAGTCTTTTTATAAACAGGATGTTGAAAGGTTAAATTGCCAGCATCTGATAAACTGGAATTTGAGTTGTCAGAAAAAGTCCAAAACACACTAAAGCTGGTATTGTGAACAAGACCAGATTTTATTTTGCCATTAAATATCCAAACTTGTCACCTTTTTAAATTTCCTATTTTTTATCACTCAAAAAGCATACAAACCCGTTTATCTCTATTGACAAAAGAAAGTTGTGTTGCTTCTCTTTTTATTAATTAAGCACATGACGTTAATTAGTACTTCTGAGCCAAATGAGAGGCAATATTACCTAAGTTAATATATTTCCATCCAAGAGCTAAGGTACAAAGATTTAGAGAGCTGCCTTCTTAGGAGCCTTTGTGTACATGTACTGAAAACAGTTCCTAGGCCTTCGGAACTACATTCAAAGGGTCCTAATTATAAGCCACTGCATGAAATGTGCAGATGCACAATCTTGCAAAACCTTTTCAAGTTGCCAATTTCATCTGTTGCCTCAGAAGTGAAACAAGTCCATTTTCTGGGGCATTGAGGTGTTCCCCAGTCCAGCTTTTCTGCCTAGAAAATGCCATTTTCGTAAAGAGCTGTCACGCTCTGTGTCCTTTGGCTTATGATTTAGCTGTTCAGGGGAAGTGCACACTGCTCTTGCCCTCTCCATGCTGGTGATATGTGTTTTTGTTTTATTAAATCTTTAAAATTCTGGGCTTGTTGTTTATGACCCCCATATATTCTTTTGTTCTTTCCTGTGACTGGTGAGATCACATTTTTTTTCCCACCCTTTGTAAAAATATTAGTGCCATGTTCTAAAGAACATCATGGTCTCCAGAATAGCTGCATGCTACAATGGAGAGATGTGTTGAGCTTATTGTTAGAAAGCCCAGGTCTAAGTTTTACTGCTAGGAAGGTTGGAGACTGCTCAGAAATGGTCACTAGAAACCCAGATCTTCCCATTCTTGCCAGATTTGTTTTGACAAATCTGAGATCATTTGATACTCATCACAGAGCTTTTTGTAAAATAAAGATTTCATGCCCAAAAGTAGATGACTGGATAAAAAAGATGTGGTACATATATACAATGGAATATTACTCAGCAACCAAAAAAGAGAAACACATGTCTTTTGCAGCAACTTGGATGGAGCTGGAAAAGATCATGCTTAGTGAGATAAGCCAGAAAGAGAAAGAAAAATACCGTATGGTTTCACTCATAGCAGGGGTATAATGGACCAGGTGGAAAATAACAAAAATAATGAACAACCATATACCAGAGGCATTTTGTGGGGGTGGAGTGGGGAATGGGATCAAAAACGGGGTCGGGGGAGGGAAGTGCACAGGATTATGGTGATGGCACATGGGTGACTTGGTGATGGGAAACCCGCGGGGATTACAATTGAGATGGAAAAAAAAATGTACAAAATGATGTAAAAATAAACTTTTGTAATAAAAAAAAATAAAGATTTCAAATGGAATCCCAGTTGCAGACAGTTTATAATTAAAAGTTACTAAGAAGCCCTCGGTAGCAGAAGCAAGTTCTCCTCCAGTTCTGACTTCATCCTGTGTGCATTTTAGCTCTGGGACCTGTTCACTGTTTGCCACAAATTGCCCAGTTCTTCTGACCTCAGAGGAAGTCTCCTCTGAGACAATGAGGAAGAAGAGTGCATCTGCAGTGAGCCCTGGGCTTAGCTACATGTCTCAGGGCTCAGTGGGCCATGCAGTCGCATCATACACAGCTTTTGCATTCCTCTAGCAAGTGCAGCTGTTAAGTTGCCATCTTAGGGTTCTACCCTGCGGGGAGGGTATGCAAAAAGTCTGAACTTCTCTTTCATTCAACTTGGCTACTCTACTGATGTGAATCCCCAAATAAACCACTCCATGACATCCAACTGAACTTGTTCTTGTGCATACAGTATCTTTCAGCCCATCCTGTGCTGTTAGTTTTGGCAAGTACTCTACAGCATATAATAAATCATGGAAGGAAAAGCTTTTTGGCCTAGCCTGGTTGAGCTTGCTGTAATGTCAGAATACAGAAAGCAGTTCTGTTTTTAGACATCCTTTTACTAACCCAACATTCATAATTTATGATTTCACTGTAAAATTCCTGCAACACTACACCAAAAGTAGTGCTGCCCTTTAATTAAGTACTCTCAGTAGGAAAAACGTGAAACTGATGTGCAAAACATCTCTGTGTTCACAGTGATTGATAGTGATTACATCTTTATGAACCCAGCCTAGAGGTCTCAACTTCCTGATGGGTGAAGTCGTCTACAGGGCTACTTCCTGAGTCTGCCTGGCGGGGATAGTCACCACTATCCAGATTGTAGGCAATTTGGAGGCCCTGTTTAGAGATACTGAGGGTTAAGCCTACATCTGTCTATCCTTTGTCACAAGTCTACATGACATTATTCCTCACTTTCCTGATAAGGACCTATGAACAAATTTTATGCCATGTATGCACTTAAAGAAGTTGTAATACAGAGAACGAAGGGTGAAGGAGAAGGTGTCTTTGAGGGATCCCAGTTGTCCTGTGTGTTCTTTTTTTAAGACTAGGATAAATGGAGGAGAGAAAAGACTTTGGCCTGGTTGGTAGGTGAACAGAACATTATAGCCAGACATGGCCTCGAGCTGTTCCATTTTTTAAATTTATTTTTCAAGTATTGTTCTCCTTAGTTGAAAATAGGTAAGTTTGAATTTTAAAATAGCACTCTAAGCGATAGGAGACTAAAATCCAAACCTGGTGCTCCCTAGCTCATCATTGCTGTTTTTGATGCTGGTTTTATTCTTCATCAGCTAAACAGTTACATCATAATAACCTTCCAGAAAGGTGATTAGGGCAGTGCCTACATCTGAAAGGAGTCAACTCCCTTGAAAGAAATGTGACAAATCCATCCATGGTGGTAATATTTGGGTTCCATAAATTCTTTGGTGTAAATTAAGCTACTTTCAGTCACGGTCCTACAAACCAAGGGAAAAACTTTGTGCAATAATATCACTCAATTGCCTTACCAGTGTTTTAGAGATCATCTTTTTCTGGAACTGTGTTGATACTACCTGTGTATACTATTTTCTCTTGCTTTTGTAGGTTCGGGCCGGGCTTGGTCATCTATTGGTATGGATTTATCCAAGAGCTGGACTGTAACCGGGAGAGGGGCATCCTGCTCAAAGCCTGTTTCCCTACGGACATTATCACGTTATGCCACAGCATAGCTTGACCCCGGTAATCCTGGAAGAGAAGCCAGGAGGAAAAGGTGAATCCGGAAGCAATGTGACTTTCCTGCAGCGTAAACTGCTGGCAACATCTGCCCTGAACTTCAGCTGAACTCTTGCTGCTCGTGGTCACACCACTACCTCTTTAGACAAACATATCAAGAGTTTCTGTTTTCCTTCATCCCTTGCTGATGTGAACAGCCAAGAACTACAGACACAACCCACTCATTATCAGCATTTCTGTCTCTGTCAAACAGTTAGTTTATAGATAGTCATAATCTTTCTTCCTTCCGGATGGTTTCTCCTTGTATACCGAACAAAAGGAAAAATGTGGAGACTGAAAGGTGTGATTTTTCAATTCTCCTCCCAGTTACCGAATCACCCTCTTACTTTTTTTCTAAGCCTCCTTTCATTCTCTCTCCCTCCCCCTTTCTTTTCATGTACACTCATAGATACCCAGTGTTGCATTACAGTCTCAGAATGATCTAGCCCAATCCTGGGAAAGCTGGAGACCAGAAGTCTGGAACTGCCTTTCGCTCTTACCTGCAGGGCACCAGCCCACCGGATGGTAGCCTGTGGGCCTGTTTGTTTTGCCTGGTCTCTACTGTTTCCTAACATCTACTGCATGGACCCAGGTGACAAAATACACCTGATGGGAATTTCCTCTTTTATGATACTTATTTGAACCCAAATATTCTCCAATTGTCTCTTTTAAAAATATTAATTGCACTGTGGCTGGAAAACATACTTCTTTGGAATGGGGACTGAAGGTAGAAGATTGACATTCAGTGCCAAGAGTTGACAAGAGTTAAGTTTGAAACATGGCTCGTTGTCAGTATGTAGGGTAGTCCGTATTTTTATGTGTAAAGTCTTTTAAAAGCACATTCTGTGCACTGCTTTGTATCTGCATTTTTATACCCCATAATTGTATGATATCTGAGGTATTAGAAATACTCAGCTCTGAAGGATTAAGTATACTAGCAATAAACCCAGAGCAATTTTCAAATAAGTAAAATACCTTGTAGTTGTTCATTTTAATTTATTCACTTTTTAAGTGCAAACCAAATTTCAATCTATAGCATAACATCCATAATTCATTATAAACCTATTTTAGGAGACATCGAAAATTAATCTGTACCCAAACACATATTTAAGAAAATGTCCCCTTGTTGGCAAAGCACAGTAACTTTTATAGTTTTGAATAGTTGAACTTGGACATCTTAATAAGAATGTAACTTTTATAAACACCTTTATAATATATTGCTTGGTTCTTTCAAAAGACCAAATATGCTATCTGTCCTTTTATTCACTTTGCACCTAAAAAAAGGTCTGCTTGCTGTTTCTCCTTTTGAAGAACATAAACATACTGGGTCCCAACGTGTTGGATGTTAATTCTATGTAAGTTGGATTAAACAACAAAGAAAGTGGTAGAAGGAAAACAGACCAGTAAGGTGGTTATCAAGCAAGCATCTGCTTCAGCATAAAACTGATCATGCAGATTTTGAGTAAACTAGAATGATTTGAAACCACTTTCCATTGGCTTGTTACACACAGACATTTTAAACAAAACTGTTTTTGAAAGGAATTTTCATGGCATGTTCTAAACTTTTTCTTCATTGGGAATAAATTACATATATCTGCACAGATGTTGAAAATCCTGTGAAACCCTTTGTTTGTTTTACATTGAACAAATTTCTAATGAGGGTATACAAATAAATTAAAAAATACAAGAGGTGCTTGCATTTCGTATTCATTCTGCTACCCGGTGCCCTGACATAATGTGTTACAAGAAGGCAGTAGTGGTTTCTGGGAAAGGTATGGCCTCCTGTTTCTGAATGAGGTTTTCAAATTCAGCCCTTTCATAAAAGTAGGAAAGAAACCAGCATATACTGTATACATACTACGATAAAGTTACAAGTTATTCAAAACTAAGCCTTTTTCCCACATGAAAACCAGTGCAACATTAGAGTTGCCACTTTTTAATTAGAGGTGCTGGGGGAAAAGGAGTTATTTTCTTAAGCTGGAAGCCTACAGCCTCCTTTTAAAAAAAACTATTTTATATTAGAAATACTTGTGTTATAACTGCTTGTTTATTTGTTTGGTGCTTTTTTGGTTTGTTTGTGTAAACTGTATTAACAATCCTGGAATGTAGACATGGAATGACAACATATTTTTATTGCTGTCGTCATTAGAACATTAACGTGAAAGCCAGATCTTGTTTTATGGAGCATTCTGCAAACTGTGCTAATGAATTATGTCAAGCCAGAATGCAGGAGTGTGAGTAAAACGTGAAATTAAATGATGTTCCTGTGGCATATGTAGACTTGTCAAGCATCTGCTTTCACAAACAAATAAGAAAACCCCCTTGGAAGCAAAGCAAGAATCAGCTTAGAGCAAAACTGATCCAGCACCAACTTTTCAGGTGACTTTATAGATTCTTCCAGCCTCCACCCCTCAGCCCACCCCTCCCCCCTCAAATAAGACGACTTTTCTTTTTTCTGCCGTCAATTCTTCTGAACACTCCTAAAATTGCATGTAAACAGGAAGGTCCAGAGGTCCAAAGTAGAAATCTGGGTCTCCAAAGGAAATAATTTTCTTTTTAACCATAGGTGTGTGTACCTTCTCATTATCAGGCAGGCATGATTCCACACTGGAAGAGATGATAAATGTTGGTCTTTGGGGAAAGGAGGGGTGGGAACATTAACTCACTGAAGCTGCCAAGGGATTGCATAGAGCACTGGATGAGGTAATCCACTAAATGGTCCCTGGTGGGCCACACTAATTAATGCACACTGCCCAAGTGAACAGTTAATTCACTCGCTTCTCAGTGAGGAGCTACACCCATTGTTTTTCCTTTCCTCTTGGAACCAAGATACCTTGGACATTGCTCTTTTTAACCTGTTCCCTCCCTACTATAGACATGGTATTTCTACTGATTAAAATCTTAACATGTCTTTCAAATGCCACTTTCTTCTTATTTTCCACCTCTTCCTGGTCATCTTTACCTTGGCCAGTTTCTTTACACATGGACATGTTTTCTGCACTTTCTCACTTTCCCTTGGACTCCTCTCTCTAGAAAGTGATCTGAGGGGCAAAACATACCCTAAGTCCTGATCAGCCTGATCCATCTGTCCACAGGTGAAGAGAGGAGGAAACAGTTGACTTTATCTCTGGGGAAAGCACACAGAGCATGTTTCATGTGTCAGACTATCCAAGTGCGTGGGTGGCACCTGAAGGAAGATAAAACTTGTGAACTAAAATACTAAGAGATTTTACAGGGTCAAATATGGTATAAGGTTTATGCCACCCATAAATGGTTTGGCAAAGGGGGCCAAAGAAACCTAGGAGGCTTACAGCTATTTTCAGCTGACGTGTGCTTGTTCTACTGATTAAGATTACAATCTAAAACCTCAAAATATTTAATTTAGTGAAAGAATCACTCTTAACCCCTTAATGTTCATGTTGAAGCCACTTGTCATTTTCCATGTAGTTTGATGGGAGCAAATTTCCTCAGTGTAGGTATTTTGTGACAAGGATGGGAGCAGAAAATCTCCCAATGGACATATTCTTGATTAGGGCTAAGGAACAGGCAAACCACAGAGAAAACCAAGAGCACACCATGGGGGCTTGCCTGCCACATCATCACTGATAGAGAAGCTTCTCACTACCTCTGAACCTGTCTCTACAGCCACTATCAGGGTAAAGAAGAGTCACATATCACAAAGTTTGGAACATTGGTGTTAACTAAAACTAGCCTCCCTAAATATAGTAAACAAGGCCTGAACCTGCTTTAGTAAGAACATGCCTGAATTCCAAAGATTAAATAAGGAAGATGGAATTATGAATTAAATAATAACCAGAACAGCTTGGGTTCCCCTTGTGTTTTTCACTTTCCTGCTATTGTTTTGAATACGCCTGTGAGACAAAGGGCTGCTTAGGTCAAGCACTATAAATTACAGTTTTCATACAATAGTAATCTACAAAAATGATTTCAAAGCTCGATCAAAGTACTTCAAAAAACTTGTTAAACTTTTCCACGATACAGGGGAAGTGGAAATGCTCATTTGATGCCTTTATTTGTTTTAGTCAGTAAAGTTTAATCTTGGTATCATATCTACTTTATATAAATAAATTAATCTGTTCTTGCCATTGTTTCATGTAAAGGGGGTTTAAGTTTTCATCTAGATACTAGAACAGCTAAACAGTTGGAGGCATTTAGCATATAAAGAAAAGATACACCTATTGTGGCTTTTTTTTAAATCAATATAATTTGACAATATTTGTAATGCATAAAGTATTTTAAACTGTCTAACTTAGAATACAATGGATATCAGTGAATTTATTTGGTATTTTAATAATCACTACAGCAACAGCTAAATTTAGTTTTTCATCCTTTTCCCTCATCACTTGGATTTATCTGGAGCTGTTGCATATCCTAGGCAAGAATGATGGGAAATACCTAGTGATAGCAAAGCTAAGCAGATTTCTAGGCCCAACCATATATAAAAATTGTGCAGGGCAGCTGCAACAATGTCAGACTCAGCTAAAGACCCACAGTACTTTATCAAAGTAATTTTTATTTTTTAAAAGGAAGGTCATTTTGAAATACTGACATGATATATAACGAAGTCAATTAAGTAATAACAATTGAAGTTCAGAGTTTAATTGAGGACTGAACATGAAGCCAATGACCATTAACCTAAACGGCCACGAATTCCCCCTGGAAACTGCCTTGGTTAAAGGTATTTGTAGAATAACTAGCCCTTTTTTTCTTTTAAAGAAAAATAATGGCTTAGTAAAAACTAAAAAATTACATAGCACAAATACATCTACAATGGAAAAAAATGCTTCTGTCACTTTTATATGCAATACAGGTACACTGAGAAATAGCAATTAACTTGCCTAGAGTTACTTTATTTTTTAAGTTCAATTGAGACTTCTTTTTAGAGCAAATCAAAATTTAGATCATCAAAACCACTCCTAAGAGAAACCATACTTGCATAAGGTGAAAGTTGTAATGACGCTTTATTTGATTGCACTCCATTTATCTCAATTGCTGGACTTATTTCTTTCTCTGGTTGTTTATTGGCAAGATTTCCAATTAGATTGCAAAAGTATCATTGAGTAGAAACTATATTTATCTTATTCACTCTTTATTCCCCTAATAGCTAATGGAGTACCTACCACAGAACAGGTCTCAATAAATGTAGAATGTACAAATGAATGACCATTAAATGTATATTGTGTTCTCACTTGCATTTTGGAAATAAGTGGAACTTTTTAACTTTTATTTTCCTTAGCCAAAAATGAAGAAAAAATCACGTTTTGTTATTAATTAAAGACTTACTTTAGAAATCCTCAACAGCTTTGAAAGAAGCAGATTCACGAGCCAGAGTATCTTAGGTTGTGTATTTAAGTTTTAAGTTCATATGATATGGTGACGTATTTGTCCTGAGGCTAGCCTTAGTACATTTTTTTATCCACTATATTATTAAATAAACTAGAGCATTTAAAAATCTTATCTTTGTTTCTCCTTTTCAAAGAGCTTAAGGCTTTATACATTTCTATTTATGAAACAATTTCCTTTAAAATGTCAGGGCCCAAAAGTAAATGAGTTTCCCACACAAATTTTGGGATATTCAGAGAAGCTATTAGAGTAACTGCAAATGGTACTTTTAATTGCTCACTTTTTATAGTGCCGAGTTGGGGGCAAAGTGCTTCCGGACCATCGAAGTGGTTGGCTCACTAAAAGAGAAGAGTTCTTTGGGCATATGCCAACAGGATCTGACTTTGGAGGGACACTGTCCATGAACTATCAGTGGGCGTCTCCCTGTTAGACATTAATTCAAAGTGCATTATCATTTGAAAGTCAAAGGCATTTGGCATATTTCCTCATTATTTTGGAAACTTGTGACACAAAGGAACTGAAACATTCACATTTCTTCCTTATGCTGCCAGTTTCCCAGGGCTGACTTTGCTGGGGTTGTTTGGTGTGTGATTCCTTCAGGAGGATCCAGGGAGAACGGAAACCCAGAACAAGTTGTCACTGAGACCAGGTCCTCTGGCTCCCTGTGACATATTTTTGCATATGTTTCTAGCACTTAGGTTACTCGAGACACAGCTATCTCTTGAGTCCTTCCTATGCATTTAGAAGTGTTTGAAGTGTGTGGTGGATTAAAATTATGCAAGAAAGGACACTGTTGAAAAAAATCATTACTTGTCAAAATGAAAACAAAAGATCTGAACATTTCAGAAAAACAATCAGAGTATAATAAGGGAGAATGAAACTGCTGAGGCTTTAGTAAGATATTTTAACTCTGGAATACAGGCAGCAAACAGTTTTCCACTTGCTTCTAGTGGCATTCAGTGCTGTTGAGAAGAATTCTCAAGTTCAACTCAGCAGGAAATAGGGTTATGATCAATTATGGGCACTAGTCTTTGGAGTGGGTAGTGATCACATAGATGCCACATATTTTCAATTCCTGCCCTAGGCCATTCCTGTTTAGTGCAAGTATAAATAAATTCTAAGCATTTGGAACAGAACTCATAACCTTGTTCGCAGGCTTGGGTAATAAAACAAGCAATAGCATTCTCCATTGGTTCTATAACATCAAGTGAATGTCTGTTTATGGCTGATCTGCTTAGTGA